CTATGAATTCCGGTGGACAGCAGAGATGCCCAAAGGTGGTGCAGCCGCTCCAGCTGAAACAACACTAACAATTACGGTAACTGTAACGCTATCAACAAGTACAATAATATCAACAAGAAAACAGTAATAGCAATAACAAAAATAACATCAACAAAAACAATAATATCAACAAAAACAACAATATCAACAAAAACAACAATAGCATCAACAAAAATAACATAACATCAATAATATTATAATTTTTTTATCACCTGGAGTTTTCAGTGTAGCAGTCGATGTTGGGGACACAAATACAGTTCTGGAAAACCTGCCGACGATATATCCTTGGCTCTGTCCTCTCTACTGCTTCTGACACTGCCTGCACCATCACCACTGCTGCCACCATCACCACCATTACTGCCACCATTGCCGTCACCACCGCTAGCGAAGGAACAGCAATCGGTTTAAAACTTTCGCCATAGGAATAATTACATGATGAAATAGAGCCATAGAATAAAAAAGAATAAGAGAGAGAACAAGGAAAGAAAGAGAAAAAACAGAATAAGAGACACAACAGAGAGGAAAGAGATAAATAGCAAAAAAAATAAGAAAGAGAAGGAAAGAAAGTGGGAGGCAGAGATAGGGAGATAAATGTGTGTGTGTGTGTGTGTGTGTGTGTGTGTGTGTCCACTAATCTAGTACACTGCCCTGGATGAATAGGGAAATTAATGAATACATATAATCAGGAACTTTAACGCCACCTGATCCATGGTCACTAGACACTACAGATAGGTGTCAGGGATTTACAATAATAGGTAGGTCTAGGTGTGAATGTTATATGGTATTATATTTGTGTTTCTTATATTTCTTACCGTAGAGTTCAATACCTTCACACTGGTTACTTACAGGAGATTATGGTGTATCTCCGTAGAAGTTCACTCGACATTCCATGATTTTACTTGATAAATGATGATTTAATGGATTCCATTAATTGGTTATACTTTGTCATAACCAATCAGTCATTACCTTTAGTAATAATAAGATAGGATCACAGATACGGGCAGATAATTGCACTTACATTTATTTGACAAGCTTCCATACAATGATTTACAATTTGCATGGATATACGAGTCACTCCGTAATAAAATTAACTTTTTAAAGGGGGAATTTTCAACTTGGGGACACATGATTACTCTATTATGGGTATGACTTAACAGAGCATTAATTATTCAAGTGATACATTTACTGCCAGCCTGGATTGTTCTTGTTGCAACCAGGCTTCCGCACATAATTTTCTTTCCACGGGGAATAACAAAAATAAAACTTGGGTTACCACACATAGTCTCACGTCACTAAAAGTCACTGTAGACGGGTGTCGCGCAGGAGAACTCTGTAAGCGTGACTTGATTAACCACTTAGGTTCAATCGGCCAGCCTGGATTGCTTTTGTCTCAACCAGGCTTCCACACGTGATATTTCCACGGGGATAACAAACCTTGGTTGACACACTTAGTCTTGTGTCGCTGACGGGGTGGCGGTGGAGGACTATGTGTGGTGTCCCGTTCCCTTCAAGTGGGAGAGGGCGGGGACGACGTCTTAACTAACCCATGGTCTAGGCCCTAGGGGATACTACAAAAAATCTGGTTTTGGGGCGTGAGACGATGAACAGTACAATGGCTTCCCTCTATACACTGGCAAACATACCACTTATGGATTAATGTTGTCATAGTCATGGCTCGCCGGGTGCTTTACAGTATCTCTAGTAAAACAAACTTTGTGGATGCCTCACGCAACCCATGACAAAAGGTATGTATTGTACTGTACTGTACGTTTCCTCAGGCCGTCCACCTAGACTTGCTGCTCTGTTACAAATTCACAGATGTTCACACACTTGACATTAATTAACACATATTAAGAGATTCTATCAATCTACCTCTCTCTAGTACCGGGAGTGGGAGGTGAACGACCATGTCAAATTTTTCCTAGTGCATTCAGCTCGTCAGTCAGTCAGCTGTTCTGTTCCTCTCTCGGTACAGCTACTTGTTTTGTGTTTTTCATATCGTTTTCGTCTGTTACCAAGAATGATAAGAAGTTTTATTTCTCGCGTCCCGTTGGAATTATTCTTTTATTGGCCTTGTTAGTATACCTGTACTCAGCAATCTATCCTCACACCATCTTTATTAATACACTTATCCTCACTCCTTCATCTACTACGTCTGTCCTCGTCTTCACCTCCCCAGCCCTGCTCCTACTCACCATGTGACGGGCCGAGTTCTTCTCATTTTATTTAACCATCCAGATATTCTTTTCTGTAAGTATTCTTATTTATTCATATACTTATCTGTTCTTTGTAGCATTCTTTTCAATGAGTTTCCTGTTTCTATAGTTATCCTTCTTCAATTCTTTATTTATAAATATACTTTATATTCTTATTTAGTATTCTTATAAAAGTAATTCTTGTCTTAGTTATGTATGTGTTTTATATTAGACATTCGTGGTGTGTTTATTTAATAACTTCTATGCTGTGGTTTTAGTTCCACAATGTACATACATTATCTTTCTCTTCCTGTACTTTCCAAGTCTTTCATTTCTTTCATATATATTTTATTCTCAGTTTCAATGTTCTTACCTTTCTGAAGTATACTCTGTTTTATGTCTATTCTTATACATGGGTTAGTCTGGGGAACCATGTTATTCTTTGTACAACACTTTTTATACTTACAAAGGGTAGCTGCCACCACCCAGACTTTTTATTATATAACAAAACTCATTTAAAGTTTTTGGGTAGTGTGGTAGATGTCTAGGCACGTGAGTAAGGATTATTTTCTGGGAATCAATGTGTAGAAGGAGTAGAGTGGTGATACTCGTAGATTAATAATTCAATATTCATTAACACAGCGAGTGGAGAAGATGCATCTTAGATTCACTCAGACAAAACAGAACCGCAATTAACTTATTAAGTCACCAAACACTTCAAGAACTTATTACCTCATTAACCACCACTTCAAGTAATTTCGTTACTTCATTAGATAATTGTGGTATTATTTCTTTGATAAAGTAAGATTTAAAAATTATTACATTAATTGTCAGATAATGATTGACCTGCAGGTGGTCTAATCTTTATAAGTAACAAACTACATCTAATTCTTGGTTATTAAATATTTAACAATCAATATATTATTCCATTGTCACTGCAAGTGGATAATATGACACACTTGACACTATCCCATATCAACTTATATCATCATTGTTCTATCAGCATGAACATGATACTTTTCCTTCAGTTCATGTGTACTCTAACTCACATAACACATATTTTCTGGTAATATCAACATTTATGGGTTCACTGCTGCTTAACCTGGGATTTCCATATTTGTTAGATAATCCCTCAATCAAGATAGCCAATACTTTAGACTCCATAACTGTGAGGAGTGCCCCCAGGTATATATCCCGGTGTCTCTATAACAAATGAAGATCGCTGCTAGGGGGTCGGCAGACGGACACACGCTAAGGGAGCTGGGGCCTGAGTTGCAGGATTTCACAGCTTGATCCTGTCGAATTAACGGTATCAGCCCAATCCCGGCTACCGACCCACGGTAGCCGATGAGTATTCAGCTCAACACACTGGCCTGAGATACGTTGAGGAAGCGTCACGAATGCGTCAATAATTAACTTCAACTATATTAACATACGTCTGGCAACGGTCCAGACGATATTCAAATCTCTAGTTACTTCGACTTAATTGGCACAGAAGTTACTTATGTTAAACATGAACATTGATATCACAAAATTGACTGGGTTAAATTGAATTATTAGGCGGCGTGGAAACACACGTGAACATACTCTGGAGATGAGAAAGCGATAAGTCGAATCACGAAAGCGTGATTCTCCTCGCGGTAGAGGTATATACGCACCAAGGGCAGCTTGGGCCTCCTTATTCATACCAGAAAGGTCAGATCTTAACAACATACCTTCTCTACCATTTTGGATCATCATATACTTAATTATGAACTCCGGTGTTCCTGATCAGGTAATTACCTATGTCTATTCATATAATCTAATCAGAGGTTGAGTTTCACAGAAAAGGTGGAATATACACGTTGATAACATTAATCTTGCAAGCTCAGGCCTGAGGCTAACAAGGAGCTATTCACGGGAGACGCTAGATTCTGGAGATTATACCAGTTGACAGAATAGTTCATGAGATTAATGACTTTCTTAAATAGACAACTGACTCTAACTAAACTATAAACATCAGATTCTCTGATGTCGGGGTGATAAAATGATATAACTTCAGGAGCGATCAGAAAACTCCATGGATATCCCTTAATGACAACATAAAATGCTTTCACTCTAGGCAACCTCGACACTCACTTTACTTGACATCGTTTTACTAACAATAAAGGACAGTTGAAGTGTTCAACCCCACTCACACGGATCTTGAATGTTCCAACTGTAAAACAGACATATCTAAGTTGGCTCAAAACAAGGGCAGCCTTCTCACACTCAAATTCAGCTCTATAGAGAGGTTGGTTTCAGTAAGTCAGAGAAATGGGATAACGGAGGAGTGAGGCATCTTGAAGTGATGAGAAAAACGGACTCCTCAGATGGAGGACTCAAAATAAAAGCAGAGTGATCGTGGTCGTTACTACCACATGTGATCACAACTCTTCTATTACCTACCTTCTATTTGGCGCCACTTTAACAACAGGACAAACCTCTGCCCCATCTTGATTATTAAAGTCCCTCACACACATTTCAATCAAATCTATTATCAGCTTATACTGCCGGATGGAGTCCCCCCCCCACAAAAAGTTGAGCTCGAATTTAACCAGTTACCGTATTTAACAAAGAAATGCATAAAACATCAACTAAATAGAATACCTGTGATAAGTTCCTCTGCCCTTCTTCTACGTAACCCGGAATTCCAGTACTATCTCTGTTTTAAGAAATAGGATTATGTATTACAGTCGGGTTGAGAATATTATATTAGCTGTAGCGTTTCACGTAGCTTGACCGTAACCCGCACCCACCACCACCACCTTACAACTAACGTCTGACCTTGGTAGTTGGTCTTGACTTGACTTGAGGCACTCCGTGTAGGGTATGGGAGAACAATTGCCACATTCACCAGTTATCATACCTCCCTCTTTTTCTTTTCATTGTTTCACTTATTTCGTACGCTTACGACCATTTCCACTCGGATACCAGCGTTTAGTGGTAATCTTATTACATCCTTGTTGGAATTTGACCGCAAACACTGACACAGGTAAATATTCGATGGTTTCTAATCGAAGAAGCAAGTGCCTTTTAAACCCTCAATTGCCTGATTTTCCTGATACAGTATTTCACCTGGAGGGCAAGGGTATGTTGAAAATATAACTGAGCTTGAACAACTTTGGTCTTATAACACCTTCACTACGGGACTCTCACTTTCAATATTTTAATTGGCTATACCAGACTAATTTATACAGCAGAGAGACACAAGGGGTTAATAAACTATATCCACTTAGTATGTATTAGTATCACCAAAAGTCATCGTAAATAAAATATCACAGCTACACATGGATGTGTTTTGGATCATGTTTACACATCATATTTTGAGCTCCCACGAGAACCTTAGATGAGTGACGAAAGTTCCACTGGATCTTACACAAGTGAGAATGATGTTATCCACTGTGATGCTACCAAACATCACAGATTTCTCGGCCTCCAGTTTCCTCTTATACTAACACTGGATAGACAAATCCCCCGAACGGCTAATAATGTGATAAGTGGTGAAAATTATAAGAAAAAACAGTAGCGTGATTGTGAGTGTGCGCACGCGCTCTTGAGACTCTGCCAGACGTAAGAATTTATCTTTATTTGTTTGTATTGACAAATGTCTCACGACTTTAGTGGCTTTTCCAGCCTTGATTACTCAGGTTGTTAGTTCAGAAGTTTTCCCCAGTTTGGTTTAGGAACTTGAGATGGAAAAGCTAAGAATCTATTAGTGAGAGGAAAGATTCACCTGAGCGAGGAAGACCGATACTAGTGGTTGGGGAAAAAAGGAAATCTTCTGTACCCAAAAACTTTAATGTAACAAAATTTAAGGCAGTTAAAGACAAAATTAATGAACACTGATATAGTAGGAGCGACAATCGTAATTAATTCAGGCATTTTGGAACCTAGAGTAAACCAAGGTAGACTTTAGACCAGGGGTTCTCAACCGGGGAATTACCCCCGGAATTCAGGTTTTCGGGGGGGGGGAACTGATTCGGGAGCAAGAGATATATGTTCGATGAGAAATCAATCACAGAATTTTGGCCCTTGATGTGCGATTCCTACCCAAAAGTGGCAGAAAGAGCTATCCGTGCATTGCTTCCGTTTGTGTCGACATATCTTTGTGAGTCAGGCTTTTCAACTCTGTTGCAAATTAAAACGAAGCAACGTAGTAGATTAGAGGTAGAAAATGACCTGCGTTGTGCCCTTTCAAGCACTCCTCCGCGTATCCCAGAATTGGCGAAGAAAAAACAATCACAGGTTTCTCATTGACTGTAATCTTCATCTGAATAAAATTAATTACAAATTTACAATATCCTGGTATTCTATTGAACTTTTTGTTTATTGCATTATGCTTCAGTTTGGTCTGTTAAGTAATTCATTATAAATAAAAAAAACTATTTTACTTTTATTCAAGTTTTATAAATCCATCAACATTTTCAATTGGCATTTAATTTGTAAAACTCCACTATAAAAATAATCCATGTAAAATTGTAAATGTATATGTACTAATATGGAAAAAATAAAGGATTTTCAGTATTATATGCATATTATTTGGAATGCACTTTTTGAGGCAGACAATCTTGGAAAGGAGGGGGGAATGACATTCTGACATATGGTGAAAGGGGTGCATGGGGCAAACAAGGTTGAGAACCACTGCTTTAGACCATTTTGGATTTTAGAGTAATCCAAGGTAGACTTTAGACCATTTCGGAACCAGAGTAAACCAAGGTAGATTTAGACCATTTTGGAACCTAGAGTAAACCAAGGTAGATTTAGACCATTTTGGAACCTAGAGTAAACCAAGGTAGACTTCAGACCATTTTGGAACCTAGATGACACCTGGTTAAGATACAGGATAATGTGTCTGTTGTAATGGGGGGAGGGGGGGGGATTTAAAGGTGGAATGTATAGGAAGAATATTTAGTTGTAGGCTTGTTAGGTGAGGAAGTTTGGTATTATATTCGCAGGGGAAAACTTCTAAACATCACTTTCAATACAAATATTTATTAATTAACTGAATGGCATGGGCACATTAATAGATCAATATATCGAGTTACTTGACACTCACTCTCGGACACAAACATGAAATGGATACACTTCCCACCGTAAGTAATTCACCCTTGGATCGCTCTGACAAAGACTCACGTGTGACCTGAGGGAGGCCCAGAAGGTGCTGTTAAAAGGAGTGCTGGACTAGTCTCCTATGGGAGACTCTGCTAGCTGGAGACGCGGTGCTGGGGAGGGAAGTCTCCCTCTGGGGAGGAGCTGTCGGCTCCCTCCCTATTACAATAGTAATCCGAATGCGACTGTTTTTGATTGGTTGGTTGGTGATACGGAGGGAAGAGAGCATTAGCTCTGAGGGTGCAAGAAGGGTAAAGTACAAGGTAAAGTTCAGAAGTGGGAAATATAGGAGGAGGTTGACAGCAGGTGGGCTATCCACCTTGCGGAGACGAGGTTTTGTCTTCCGTCAACAGTGTTGCATGAGCGGACTCTTGCGGCTAGGAAAGGCCGGTCTCAGCTAAGCTAAGCTAAGTTGTTCTACTTGATGTTTGCTTGAGGCATATTATGTTGGGGGGGCGGGGTCCCTCCAGGTCCTTGTGGCACTGGGAGGATGATCCCCATCTTTTGGTTCTTTCATATTATGTATCACTTATCAGTTTTTCTGCTTCTAGGCCACCATCTGTACGATGTGTTCTTGTTTTTCTCATTTAGTCATGCTTAGGTAACTCATCCTCCTCCACTCCATCACATGTCACAGTATTGCACATCACCTTATCAGGTCTAACACAATAGGGTTTCAACAGATTCACATGTACTAGTCTTTTATTCTTCATATCTTCAGGCGTGGCTATGACATAGTTAACATCTCCTATCTTACTCAAAACTTCAAAGGGACCCTGATACTTAGCTTGTAGGGGAAACTTCCTAATGGGCAAGAACAAAAGCACATTATCCCCAAATAAATTTTTCTATCTTCTGCAGTTTCAAATTCTTCTTCCCAATTCTCATGCAATAGTTTCAAGGGACCACGGATATTCCAGCCAAATATCAGTTCACTTGGTGAGAATCCCAAACTAAACTGTGTAGTACATCTGATAACATACAATAGATGTAATATAAACCAACATATAATATAATATAAACCAAGTGCACGCACAGGTATAGCTTCCGGATATATAGTGGAAGCACACATCACCGGTAACAAATATTCATTATCACACTCGGTTTCAAGAAGAGGGCCCACCCACTCAATGATTACTTTTGCAAATGGCTCATCAACAACGGGTATAAGTTTTAAAGGTGCAGGTAACAATACTTGATTGGGCTTACCAGCTAACTGGCATACATGACATATACGACAAAAATCTGCTATGCCTGAGGAAACACTAGATTCATAATGGCTCCCTGGTTCTGATACGGCCCAAGCAAATAATGGAACCAACGACTGGTCAGAATCTTGAGCAGAAATCAACATCTCTCTTGTGACAGGAAGTCTACTGAAATCAACATTCACATGATCCTTAGAATCTGTCTTTACATCACCTGACACATCACTAACAGGTTGATCTACTAGACCTGCAACTAACTGCTTTGTCTTAACATCAAACAGTCCATTCAAATCATAATCAGGCAAAACATCACATTGATTACTCACATCTGTCCCAGACGTCACCATTTTAGCTTGACTACGGGTTACAGCACCAGAAGGGAATAACCCAACACACTTACTCACAAGGTCTGCACCAGGGTTATTACTCAAAGGTGTAGAGCACACAACTAAATCCGGAATAACAAGGCTACCAGCTATATCATTTCCCAAGAGGAACGTTACTCCCTCCACTGGCAAAACCTCCTGAACCCAACTGTAACTGGCTGAGACAAAGGGTCCATCCGAAGATACACTTTACACAAAGGAACGCAAGTGGTTCCAATAACGCCCCGCAACACAACATGCTCACCAGTATAAGCCTCTTCCACAGATGGAAGAGCACTTTTCAACAGAATACTGAGTGAAGCACCAGTATCCCTCAAAATACTCACAGGGACAGCAAACTACCCTCGGACAGGGGATACAAAACCAGGAAACTGAAAGGGCTGGAACAAATCTTTAGAATCCACATAAACTGGGTCAGAAACCGCAGCAACATCATCTACACCAACACTATCTGCCGAGACAAATGCAAAATTGGCAACAGGCGTGTCATGGGATTCATTAGCTTTGAGCTTAGGACATTGGGCAATGTAGTGACCAGGCTTTCTACAATAAAAACACACAGAAGTAATAACCCTGCTAGATCCATTACCACCATGACCATCAGAACCTCTGCCAACATTCTCAAAAGAGGGTTTATTACCTGTTACCAAACGGGTGCTTACCACCTTGAGCTGGAGTCACGGCTGGGCCTGGAACCTCATTAACTTTATGTTTATGAATCAGACTGAAATTTTCCGCCAAAATGGCAGCTCTCTCAATAGCTGTAACTTCCTTCTCACAAACGTACATAGGCACGTCTGTGGGGACACTTCTCAAATACTGCTCTAGTGCAATCAATTCACAAAGTTTATCATAGTTTTTAACTCCACTATCCCATAGCCATCCGTCGCGCAACAATTTGACAGTGTGACCATATTCGATATATGACTGATCGGGCAATTTGAATGTATTTCTAAACTTATCTCTGTATGACTGTTGTCAACTGGTAAGATTTCAAAATGGCTTCCTTGACCACAGAATACTCATTTTGCTGAGAGCTGGTTAGGGACAAGTAAGTGGAAC